AAATTTTTCTCTGGAAAGAATGCAAAGGACTGGCAATGGGCACAGTGAGATGGAGCAAGCGAGTGACGCTTCCTGGGGAACCCAAACTGTAACAAGTCCTAGTCTCATCTCTGAAGCCTTCTAGTTAAGGAGTCCTTTAGATGAGAATCTAAATACTAGCTGTTTTTCACTTCTTCATTATCTGCATTAGGTATAACCCAGTACCAACTGAGTCAATTATTTTAAACCAAGGAGACAGATCAGCCTGAATTAAAGAAAAATCAAGTATGGAAGGAACCATTAGCCGGAATTACACTGGGGAATGTAAACAGGGAAAGAAATGAGTAGTGTTTACTTTTCACCCTCTTTCTATACTGTCATTTGTTTTAATCCATGAGCATACATTACATTTTTATATAAAAATAAGTTATTTATTTAAAAATTTCATAGTAAATTAAATTTTTATTCATTTGAAGTACATGCATAGTTAACTGAGCATCAAAATTGTAGAAAGTGACTCATTTGTAAGAGCAATTTGCAAACAATGAGCCAAAGTCCTTGAAGATTGTTCTTAAAATCCATTCTGATGGATTATCGTTTGCATCTATGAACACTATTGATTTCCATATATGATCCTTGTTCAGTTATCTTTCTGAATTACCTGACTGTAACTATTTCTATTTATTCTCCCTTGGATTTTTGAAGCAAATCGCTGTTATTTGCTAATAATTATAATTTTATATCCTCTATTTCAACTTTTAAACCACTTGTTTATTTCTCTTCTCTAATTGTGCTGAAGAACACCAACCAACCACAATAAAAAAATACTGGTGATAGTGTGAAAAAAACCCCAATTTTCAAATATCACCCTTTGTAATAGTGAAGGCAAGCTTCTGCCTCTTCCAAAATGAGTTATCAAAATTCGGATGTAGCATGTCACAAATTTACGGTAAGGAAAATGGATGGTGTGTTGCTGGCTTTCTTCCAGGTTGACCTTCAATCTCTTGATGAGTGGAAGTGGGCCTGTGTTCTTCCACTAATGCTTAAGTGCTCAGACAAGGTGGATGGAGGCTGGAGTGGAGAGATGAGCCTAAAAATAGAAATGTAACCACACCCTATACATTTTAGCAACTCCACCATGCTGAGTTTAAGGAAATATTCCTTCCCAGCCCAGATGAATTTTATCCTAGGTGAGATGGGCAAAACACCTAAAAATCCAGTTCTAATCTTATTCCTGTGCATCTGTCCCAAATCATTAGTGCTTGTTTGTGGTTTTTGTTCGGTCTCTTATACAGAGACTATGAATTTTCTACATCAATTTCTGCATCACTAGGTGGTAGTCTTTTCAGTGTATGGCCTGTTGACTGTATCTTATGTTCCCAGAGAAGTGGCAAAGCCTAGTGCTTACCACAAACCTCAGAGCCAAGCTGCCTTAGTTCAAGGCCAGGCTCTGCTATCTACCAACTTTGTGAATTTGGGCAAGTAGCCAGTTTCTACACCTCATTTCCCCATCAATAAAATGGAGATACTAGAATTGAATGGGGAGGGGAGTTGAGAGAATTAAACAGCTTACTTTTCATACAGTGCTTTAAAACTACTAGCAAGTTCCTGGAGGTATTAACTGTTTTCATAAAGCCAAAGAAAACCCTCAGCCAGGTTTAGAATCTCAGTGCAGACTCGGCATGCAGCCATAGCATTGAACTGCTGACTAGAACCAAATAATTGCCTCTTGAAAGCAAACTTGTTATGGATTGAATGTTTGTGACTCTCCTCCACCCCCCCCCTATTCATGTGTTGAAACCTACTCCCCAAGGTGACTAGGTATTAGGAAGTAGAAAATTTGGGGGGTGATTAGGTCACAAAGGTAGAGCCCTCATGAATGGGATTGTACCCTTATAAAAGACCCCAGAGAGCTCCCTTGCTCCTTCTGCTATGTGAGGACAGAGCAAATAGAGGCTTGCCTATGAACAAGGAAGCAGGCGCCCTCACCAGATGTTGAATCTGCCAGGTTTTTTATCTTGGCCTTCCAGTCAACGTAACTGTGAGAAATAAATTTCTGTTGTTTATAAGCCACCTAGTCTATGATATTGTTGTAGCAGCCCAAATGGACTAAACAAAACTCAAAGATCACATTTATCAATATTGGAAACTTTTGGACAAGCCTCAAGGATGCTCAACTATATGTCTAGACTATGAAACCCTAAGTTTCTTGGAGACCCAGAAAAGTATTCTAACGGGCACTTCCAGGTTCTTTGATCAGAATAGCATAAAGTTGTTTTTTTTTTTTGTTTTTTTTTTTTAAAAAAAACTCATGATCCTACTTCACTGGTTGACTTCATTCTAAGTCAGGCCAGTTTTGGCTAAACCTTTGGTCAGAATGGATGTGGCCTAAAGCAATGTTTCTCAAAACAGAATCAGTCACAAGGGTGCTTTACAATGACCTGTTTTAACTTTTCAGGTGCTCTTATTTCCAAAGACTGAGTGTTCTACCTCATGAGAGAGTCAATGGCATGTTTAAAATAATTATTGGAAAGTTCTCTAGGCTAACCTAAACTCCGTCTCCTATTCTTTTGCTCTTGGGGGTTTCACATAAATAGTTATTTGCATACTGATAACACTTAGAATATTTAAAGCCAGTTAGGTTCTCCTAGGGATTATGTACTTGAGTCAACTTGTTGTAAAATAAAACTTTCTTATAATCAAATTTACCCTTGAAAATCCCTTAAATTGCTCACAAAGTAAAATCCTAATAGAGCCGATTTTACCTCCAGGATTGGAACAGATTGTTCTTTTGGCTGGGTTGCAGATGAAGTGGTTAGCTGGCAGTTAGGGTAAACATGTCATATGAAAAATACTTAACCTCTATTTGTAGAGACCCAGACCCAGACCCTAGGCTAAGCAAGCTCATTTCGGAGAGTACCCCCACCCAGAGGAATTTAAAAACTCCTGTTTCAGCAAAAAACATAACAAATTGTCTTGTCAAGAAAGTAGAAGAAGATAAGCAAAGTATATGGCTTATTAGGAAAAGATAAACAAGTCATGTTTTATAGCCTGTTAAGAAGATAAGCGAGTTATGTATTATGGTTCATTAAAAATAATAACCTAACTATGTTTTATAGTTTGTTAAAATAAGATAAACTAACCATTTTTCCTTTTACACACTAAACGCTTTTTTTTCGCTTCTGTATCCAGCTTCAGCTATAAATTCCTCACCCACCAAGACTTAGGGGCTGATCTCTCCTTTTGCAGAGAGAGAGAGAGACAGTCACCAGGCCTGGCTAATAAAGTCTCTGGAACGAAAACCTTTTGTCTAAGTTTTGTTAAGGAGCGGTGACCCCAACATATTCACTTAGCATGAATGCATATTGTTGAAATAACCCATATAATGCAACATTACAAAATGCTTCTTTAGCATTTTCCATTAAAAAAAAACCTTATTGAGTACCTTCAACATGTCAGGCATTGTGCGGGGTGGGGGCACTTGTCACACATTTATCAATAAATGCGGACAATTTATTAACTTACTGGAGAAGCCACTTCCTGAGATGAAAATGACACTTAAAGAGAAGATTAAGAAGAAGGTATGGTAACATGAAAGTGATGTTCTTCAGAGGAAAAAGAAGCAGACAGTGATGCAAACAACTCCACTGCTATTAATATATCTCAAAAAACAAGTTTATAAGTGTCATCTTCCAGTCCTCTAATATTATTTCATGAAAATATGACTAATCATTGAAGAAGCAATGGTTTGCAGCAAATTCCCAGAGTACTTACTTTTAGGATTAATATACAAGAAGCGCCAAGTAATGCCATTTATTTAGCAAAATAAAAAATAATTTTTCACTAGGAAAACTTACAAAGATATCTTCAAATGAGCTGTTCAACGAATCCTTTCAAGATACATACTTCTAAGAAGTCATTTTAGAAACAGAAACTAGACTCATCTTGTTCTTCAGTTATACTGAAAAATGTTTCATAAGTTATCATAAATGAACAGCAATAACAAAATACCCCAGCAGAGGGGCCAGCCAAGTGGTGCGCTGGTTAAGAGCTGGCTTGGGATGCCAGAGGACCCCGGTTCGGGTCCCACATATGAGGGCCAGTGACACTGCCCTCTGCAGCCAAGATGGTGAACGGCAGGCAGCTCGACCTGGGGCTGAGCTGCCGTGGGTCTCCAGCGACAGTGTAGGCTGCAGTCCCCGGCTGCAGTGGGCTGCCATAAGCTACTGTGTGTAGCCGGCAGCCAGCGTGAGCGGCCAGCAGCCGCCGGGAGTGGCCGTCCAGAGACCAGCAACTGATCTGCCTTGCCCGGGAAGAGCGCAATGATGGTGCCAACTTGGGCCAGTGAAGCAACATCCTCCACAACTAGACTGAAGAACAAAACAACAGAAACTTGTCTGTTCCCCTTCCCCTGATTTCCCAATAAAAATCTTAAAAAATAAAACACCCTGGCAGCAATCATAACGGCATCTTCCCAAGAGAGAGCAATGGCAGATAATTACATCAAGGATTCCTACATCCCTTTGCCATCTGATAGAGGTAAATTTTGCTAAAATAAAGATCAAAGGCAGCCTTAATGAGGAAATGAATTCATTAATGTCCAGAACTTGATACATATTGAAGAAAATGGAAAAAAGGCATTCCCATACCTTTCTGAAGCTCTGGTCCCCATAGGGAGGGTTACTGTAGATGCTGTGTGCAGGAGCCAGACTTTCTTTTTATTAAGGCAGTAGTGACGGTACTACCTTCTCTGTTAAGTTGATTCCTTCATTACTGGTGCCATTTGAAGTGCAAAAAAGACGTGAAAAAGGCCGTAATTTTAAGATCTTATTAACTGCCATTTACTTTGTAACCCTGAACAGCCATCAACCTTCTTTTCTTTATCTGTAAATTAGAACTATATGGCTACTAACATTAGGGGTCAAGAAAGAGGTCACATAAATTGAAAATTCAAAAAGCACTGTATGAATGTAAAACATGATACACATAAAAACTATAAAGGACTATGGAGATTTAGACAATTTGGAGAAAAAAATCTAGTGTGAACCTTTTATTTTGACAAAACAAACTACAAATTTTACATTCTAAACTTCCAAAATTTCACTTATTTAAAAAATAAGACACAAGGCATCCTGGACTCCAAGACTTCAGGCATGAATAAAATAGTACCAGATTTTCAAGTTATATAAGCTAGCTGCATTTTATATACCATAAAAGTGAAGAGAATTGTTGTACACATTCACTAGTTTCAAGTGTATCAATAAGAAACACATGGACATACTTGGGTTTTCTAACCACACAGTTTTGTATCAACAAACATCTAAGTAACTGACATAATTTCCATTAATGGCAAATATAACTCCACAAATATCAAATTACACAAATTATTTGCTCTTTATATTCTCCATTTAGAAATTGAAAAATAAGAGGAATGTAAAGTTAAGTAGCTGAAAACGCTACACAGCGCATCATGGCAAGGAACACTACAAGTAGTTCCCCTCAGGAATGAGTTTTGAAAATTTAAAGTATATTTTATTGAAAAAGTTAAAATCTTCAGTGTGAAAAGCAAATTAAATGAAGTATTGGTTCAATCTCTAAAGATCTAGCAAATTAATAGATTTTGTGCAATTAGTAACATACATATTTAAGAGATTAAGACTGTTTATAGAATATTTAGATGGTTCTGAAGTGTCTACTTTTTATAGTTCACTTTAGCTTTATATGTCAATGAAAGGTAAGATTCCTCAATGGGAAGTTATAGCTTATTCTGCACTAGATACAGGTAATGTGTATATGATTCAAAACAAATGGCTGCTTTCACCTTCAAGGGACCTATTTTTAATTTATACAAAATTAGATTGTTTTTCACCCATATGTATGGATAAAAGTGCTTCTCAAATGTACATGGCCCATTTCCATAATTCTAAAACAAAAATAAAGGCACACAAATGGGTAATAGTTTAAATATCTATGTGAATATTTTTCATTAATCTTTAAACTAACTCAATTACTATCTAGAGAAGTGTGACAAACTTGTTACCAATTTCTATGACTTGGGAAATTAAAGATCTAACACTTCATTAAAGACTGCAGTTCTGTGCAATTCATATATTGGTTCATTCACTCTGCAAGTTAACTCACTCCTCAATCTCTATAAGCTATCGGCTACAGGTACTTCTGTTTCAGCAATTACGAGTTCAAAAAGACTAAGGGGGGACTTGCTGGAATTAGTCTCCCACAAGTTGTTTTGAAGCTTGTTACAAATATATTTAATATGTGAGTTAAATTTTACAATAATTATAAAAAATTTACCCTAACATATTTGAATGGAATGTAATTAAAATGTAAGTCTCTAATTTTAATGAATGGTATTTTTCATTTATATACAAAGGAATTCAATAACCAGCAGCATTTAAATATAGAAATAGTACCATCTCTTCTCTTTTCCCTTTATAAAGTGCTATTTTTAAGTAGGTAGATTTACTATCCATGTTTTCAGTAACTTCACTGTATGTCTCTAATAGACTTAAGCAAACATTAGAAAATTGAAAGAATTTAGTATTTTAAACATTTGCAAAATATTGCTACAGAGCAGAGACTATGAATGTGTTTTATTAGGAAAACAAAAAGCGTACCTTACGTGACAGTCATTAAGGTGATTTAATAATTACTTCACAGAAGCATAAGCTCACAAAGATTTATGCCAATATTAGCTAATCATTTAAACCAGAAAGTTTCTGTAGGCAATTTGGCTCTAAGAATCATCAAATAGGATCATGTCAAATAAAACCATTTGTTATATAACCTCAGAATAAAAACTTCAGCAAATTTAGACTTTTAGAAGAGCAAAACACATTAGTGAGCATCAGTACCAGTGGCAATGTTTTACTTAAAAGTACCATAGGTTGTTAAGTGTTTTCTTTAATCAAAAAATTTGTGTAGTTAATAATAATGTACCTTAATATTGAGTGCAGTGGTATTAGAGATAGTTAGGAGGAAACCTAATTAGTGAATGCTGCCTATTTCTTTAGTTCAGTGATTAAAACTGAAATTGCTTTTAAAAAAAATAGTTGAACACTACTTACAATACAAATAGGATACCAACAGGATTCCCATTTTTATTCACATTATTCTCTAATTAGTTCTTTTGCATTCAATTCTGACCTGACCTTCAGTAGTATCTTAAAAACCAAATGCAATTAGTAATAAAAAAAAAAAACAGGGCAGTATGTAGATTTGTTCACACTTACAAATACTACCAGTTTCATTACACCATTTCTTGTCGCTCTTGGACGAGTAACCAGTTTAAAAAACAGATACATAAAAGTGTAATATTCCTTACTTTGCATGGCATCCAGTAATGGTTAAATCAAATGAACCCTCAAATCATCAAATCTGTACCACCAATTTAGATACATTTCTAGTCATTAGAAAAAGGGACTTCAGGGTAGAGGGATACCATGGGGAAAAGAGGCCTAGGGCAAGGTTTGATGAATCACTTGGAAATCCACCTCACCCAGAATGCTAGGGGGTATTTCTCCCCACCCATTCCAACCCCCCAGTTAAGAACGTGGAATTTAGCTGAAGTCTTTTCTGGTCTCACTTTCTTGCATACATCTAGTATTCTAATTCGGAAGGCAAATTAAGCTTAGAATTTTCTGAAAGAAATGATTTTTACCCGAATACATTGGACTTTGGTCTCAATTTGAACGAGGATGACTGGCCTTTAAGAGACCGGTCCTCTTCTTCCTCCTCCTCCCCCTCCTCCAGTGGCTGCTCCCGGTCTCTGAAAGAGGGTGTGGTGTGGATGATCTGGGTTCGGAAGCGTATTTTGTTGAGTCTGGGTTTTACTCGCCCACTAGAGCTGCCTGAGGCTTTGCGACCTGGGTCCTTTGCTTTGCCTCCAGCCCATCCCTCAGCCAAATGGTGGTGGTGGTGATGATCCCCTCCATCCTCCAGGATGTGGGAGAGTCTGTGGGTGATGAGGTGCGAAGGGAGCACCTTTGACAGCCTCCAGCGCCCTCCCCCGCTGCCGGTAGCGCTCTCTCCGTCGTCGTCCTCATCTAGGGCTCCCACCAGGTTCTTGATCTCCTCAGCGATGCTCTGACTCAGGTACTGCGAGGCCTTTTTCCCACTGTAGTCCCTGATGTCCACGTCTGCGTCGTAGGCCCCTACGAGCAACTTCACCACCTCCACGTGCCCGTGCATGGCTGCCAAGTGCAGGGCGGTGTAACCTCCACTGGTCCGGCCGTTGATGTTCACTGGCAGCTGGTGTTTGTTGGCGAAGTTGACCAACATGGCCAGGATTTCCTGCTTGCCATGCTTGGCGGCCCAGTGTAGACAGGTGAAGCCGGTGATGAAGTCCCGCTTAGCCAGCAGGCCAGGCTCACAAGTGAGCAACGCTTCTAGGCTGTCCCACTTGCCTTCCGAGGCCGTGAGCATCCAGGCGTGCTCCAGAGGGTCTAGCGTCACCGAGCCCCCACTGCTGCTCTCCTCCTCTGCCGACGACGAAGCAACCGATGCGCTGTCCGAGTCGCCCCCGCCTTTGCCGCGTCCTCCCCCCGAGGAGCACCCAGGGCTGCTGCCCCCAGGGCAGACGCTCCTTTTCAGCTGCGGGGAGCTGCCCATCACAAGGTCCAGGAGGTTCTGGCGAGTAGACCTTGGGGTGGTGGCCCCCCCGGGGGAGCTCCCCCCGTCCACCTCCTCGCAGCCGTGGGGCGGGGGCTCCAGGTCCTCGCTGGGCTCCGGGGCGGATGCCCCGGCTGCGACGCGCAGCGAGTTCTTCCTCCGGGCCCCGCCGCTCAGAGGCGGCCCTCTTCGGCTGTCGCTGGCCAGGCTTGGAGGCCCGAGGGCGGCGGCGGGAGACTCCCCATCGCCCGGCACGCAGTCCAGACCCGGGGGCGCCACGGTGGACGCCGCCTCGGCGCACAGGCCGCTCTCCCGACTCTTGGCCGGGCCATCGGGCGTCTCGGGGTCGACGCCGCGGGGCTCGGGCTCTGCGGTCACCGAGATGCGGGGCAGGTCCCGGGGGGGCGCGACCTCGGGCGACAGTGGGCCCTCGCAGAACCTCTTCTTGAGATGTACGTACTTGGTGCCATCGGCAGGGTCGGTGCGCACCGTGGCTACGGCGTTGACCAGCTCCTTGAAGCGGGCGCGGGCACCGGCACGTTGCTCGGGCTCACCGCCCAGGGCGCCCCTGAAGTGCTGCACTAGCTCGGTGTGCCGGGCTCGGCCCCCGCGCTCCAAAAGGAAACATAGCACCGCCTCGGGGCCGAACTCCACCGGCCCCTCCATCCGTGGCCGCGCTGCTTGTTCGGTGGCGGGCGGCTCAACCCGGCCCCATCGTGGCCCGCTCCAAGGTGCAGGCTTCTAACGAACTTGGACTCCAGCAGGGTTCTCGGGATCTAAGCCTCGCGCCCGCGGCCAACGCCGCAGCCACAGCCTCAGTGGGGCCGCGCCCAGCGCGAACACGCCCCCCGTCGGCCCCGCCCCCCGACCCGCCCACTTCCGGTCCGCACGGCCGCAAATCTCTGCTCCAGCAGACTGCGCGCCAACACGGCTTGCTCCGCCCCCATGCCCTGCCCACTTCCGGCCATCGCGCGGTGTTCAATCGCTGTTACCGCCAGCCGAGGCAGGCTGGCTAAGGAGTACTACCCTTATTTCCTCTCATCTTTTCCCTCATGTCCCCAGTCTCCTCCAGTCACCTTTCCCCTGCGTTGACTTGTCCTATAAAACGTGGAGGGGCACTCCTGTGAGAGGCTTGCACCGCGTCTGTGCGTCACAGGCCACTAGGCTCGGCCCCTCCCCTTTCCCGGACCGCCCGCTGAGGCCGCCCCGAGCATTAAGCCCGCCTCGGCCCCCTTAGCTCCCTCCGCCGTTGGGACGCGCCGATCGGGGGCCAGGGCTGACACCGCCGCTTCGCTGGACCTCAGCCCGCTTGGCTCAGCGCCGGCTCCGGACCCTGACCTCTGAGGTGCTCAAGCACCTGGTGAGTCCAGCCGACGCCTCACGCCCCCCCTGTCGCCCTCCCCCCCACCAGGGCCTGACTCCCAGGACCCCCGCCCAGCCTTTCCCAGGGTCCCAACGTAACTTCCTCAGCCGAGAGCTCCGAGCGGGCAGCGGAGTCCCGGCTGCGTCCGGTCCAGGCGGTGATGGTGACCTGCGCCTCTCCGCGACTCCCGGTCCTCTCGGGCTCCGTCGGCGGGCCATCCCGACTTGGCAGGGAAGAGGGCTCCAGTTTTCTTTTGATGCAGCCTGGGGGAGGCATGTGGCGGTGCTTGCCTTGAACCAGGAGTGCACGGCGCGCCCCTCCCAGCTCCTTGAGCGCGCCATGCAAGAGTGGCTGGAAGTTTTTGCATGGCTTCCCCGTCTTTGCCAAAAGTTAATCTGAAACAGTGATTGTGGGTCCGTCATTTTTATAATGGTTTTGAATGCACAGAGCAGATTAATATAATAGCAGCGATCACTTACAGTTGTATATATTTCCCTCATTTTTTAAATTAATTTTTATTTTTAAATTACCATTGATATTCACTGTTAGTTTCATGTGTACAGCATAGTGGTTAGACATTTATATAATTTACAGAGTGATCCCCCCATAAGTCTAGTACCCACCTGGTACCATCATTATTACAATATTATTGACTATATTCCCTATGCTGTAATTTACATTCCTGTGACTATTTTGTAACTACCAATTTGTACTTAAATCTTTTTCCACCCAGCCCCAACCCTCTCTTACCAACTGGCAACCATCAGTTTCTTCTCTGTATCTATAAGTATGTTTCTGTTTGTTCATTAATTTTGTTCTTTAGATTCCACACATAGGTGAAGTCATATGGTATTTGTCTTCTCTGACTTATTTCACTTAGCATAATATCCTGTAGGTCCATTCATGTTGAAATGGTAAGATTTCATTCTTTATGGCTGAGTAATATTCCACTGTATATAGGTCCCACATCTTTTTTATCCATTTGTCTATTGATGAACACTTAGGTTGCTTCCGTATGTTGGTTATTGTGAATAATGTTGCAGTGAACATAGGGGTGCATATATCTTTTCAAATTAGTATTTTGGATTTCTTTGGATAAATATCCAGAAGTGGGATTGCTGGGTCATTAGGTAGTTCTATTTTAAATTTTTTGAAGACTCTCCACACTGTTTTCCATAGCGGCTGCACCAATTTGCAGTCCCACCAATAATGCACAAGGGTTCCTTTTCCTCCACATCCTTGCCAACACTCGTTTGTTGATTTGTTGATGACAGCCATTCTGACAGGTGTGAGGTGAGATCTCATTGTGGTTTTTATTTGCATTTCTCTGATGATTAGTGATGTTGAGCATCTTTTCATATGTTTATTGGCCATCTGTATGTCCTCATTGGTGAAATGTCTATTCAGGTCCTCTGCCCATTTTTTAATTTAACTTTTTTTTTTTTGATAAGTTGTATGGGTTCTTTATAAATTTTAGGTATTAATCCCTTATTGGATGTATCATTAGCGAATATCTTCTCCAAGTTGGTAGGTTGTCTTTTCGTTTTGTTGATAGTTTGCTGTATAAAAACTTTTTAATTTGATGAAGTCCTGTTTGTTTATTTTTTCTTGTTTCCCATGCCCGAAGAGGTACATTAGAAAAAATATTACTGAGAGCAATGTCAGAGCGTTTACTGCCTGTGTTTTCTTCTAGGATTTTTATTGTCTTACGTCTCACATTTAAGTCTTCAATCTGTTTTGAGTTTATTCTTGTATATGGTGTAAAAATGTGGTCTAGTTGCATTTTTTTGCATGCATCTGTCCAGTTTCCCCAACACCATTTATTGAAGACACTGTCTTTACTCCACTGTGTATTTTTGCCTTCTTTGTCATAGATTAATTGACCATTTAGACATGGGTTTATTTCTGGGCTCTCTAATCTATTCTATTGATCTATGTATCTGTTTTTATGCCAGTACCATTGCTGTTTTGATTATTCTAGCTTTGTAGTATAGTTTGGTATCTGGTAGCATGATGCCTTCAACTTTGTTCTTCTTAAGATTGCTGTGGTGGCTATTCGGGGTCTTTTGGGGTTCCATATAAATTTTAGAATAATTTGTTCTAGTTCTGTGAAAAATGCCATTGGTATTTTGATAGGGATTGCATTAAATCTATAGATTGCTTTGAGTAATATGGACATTTTAACAATGTTAATTCTTCCTATCCATGAGCACAGTATATGCCTCCGTTTATTTATATCTATATCGTCTTCAGTTTCTTTCTTCAATGTCTTATAATTTTCTGAGTACAGACAGCTCTTTTACTTTCTTGGTTAAATTTATTCCTACATATTTTATTTTATTTTTTGGATGCAATTGTAAATGGGATTGTTTTCTTAATTTCTCTTTCTGATAATTCATTATTGGTATATAAAAATGCAACTGATTTGTGAATATTAATTTTGTATCCTGCTACTTTACTGACTGATTTCATTTGTCAGTTCTTTTTTTTTTTTTTTTTTAGCTGAGCCATCCCGCCACCTGTTGGCAGCTCACGGCTGCTCAGCTCGGGCTGACTCGAACCGCTGTTGCTCAGAGCTCAAACTCTTGAGCGAGCTCTTAACCAACTGAGCCACTCAGCCGGCCCTCATTTGTCAGTTCTAATAGTTTTTTGGTGAATCTTTAGGGTTCTCTCTATGTAGCATCATGTCATCTGCAAATAATGGCAGTTTTACTACTCCCTTTTTCAATTTGGATGCCTTTTATTACTTTTTCTTGTTTGATTGCCGTGGCTAGGACTTCCCATTTCCCTGACTCTACTCACCGGAGTCTTGGTTTGCTTCCTCATTTAACCCAACTGTGCGGTTGTCCAAGTTGTCCTCCATTAGGATTTGAGGGCTTTCCTCCTTTTTCTTTTGCCTTGGCACCCTTGTACATTAAAAGAGTATGCGTGACTGATTTGTCCGGTGTTTTATGCCTCTCAAATAGTTTTTATCTATTTATCTCATTTGATAGTAAGCCAGTGGTTCTCAAAGTGTGGTCACAATAATTTTCCTAACAATACCAAGCTGCTTTTTGCCTTTTTCACACACATTCTCTTAGAGTGTACATTGAGTTTTCCAGAGGCTGCATGATATAGAGTGACTTTACCCTCTGAGGACTAATGGAATTGTCCCTGTTTATACTTGTCTTTAAGTTTTTCTGTTTTAATTTTAACACTATAAATATCAATGGTTGTAATCCATACAAATGAAAGCTCTTTGGGAGCCTGAGACAAAAAGATTGAGAACTACTGGTCTAAACAATCTCCTGAATTAGAAGTTTAGGTTATAGGAGCAGAGTTCATATTGTAGCCTGAGAGGTTAGGTGATGTGTCCAAAGTTATACAGCCAGTTTCTTTGATAGACCTTAGACAAGGATTTTTCTCCCTGATTCAGACCAGGTCTCTTTCCACTCTGTGGTGTATTTAGAGAAGTCTCATTTTTCTATCTGGATGGCCTTGATACAGTTGCTGTGTTCGTGTGCATGTATGGGTGAGGAAAATGTGTTTTATAAACTTTAGTTCATAGTAATCTTCAGAATTAAACTTGGGCTGAAGAGAGCACTTCTTTCACTGGTGTTGGATTTCTTATCAATTGCTGTATTTATTTTGCAGTACAGTAAAGAGGCTACCTTGATTTATTTCTAATTAAACTATTTTATTTTGAGATAATTGTAGATTTACATGCAATACAGATTCCTGTACCCTTCATCCAGCTCCCTTCAATAATAACATTTGCAAAAACATAGGACAAGACCACAACCATAGGACACTGACATTGACACTGAGAAGATGGAGAACTTTCCATCACCATCAGGATCCCTCAGTTTGCCCTTTTATAGCCACACCCACTTCATTGCCACCCCACCGCTTCCTTAACCCCCAACAATCAGTCATCTGTTTTTCATTTCTATAATTTTGTCATTTTACGACTGTAATATAACGGAATCACACAAGTACTTAACCTTTTGAGATTGGATTTTTTTCACTCAGCAAAATTCTCTGGCGATTCATCCAGGTTGTTGTATATGTCATTAGTTTATTCCTTTTCAGTGCTGAGTAGTATTCCATGGTGTGGATGTACCATACTTTGTGTGAAGGACACCTAGCTCATTTCCATTGTTGGGCTATTATGAATAAAGCTGCTATAATCATTCATGTACAGTAACATGTAATGGAACAGAACCAAACCACAAGTCTTCATTTCTCTAGGCTAAATTCCTAGTAGTACATAGTTAGTTGCTGCGTCACATGGCAATTGCCTTTAGTTTTATAAGAAATTGCTAAACGGTTTCCCAGAGTTTCTGCGCATTTTCCGTTCATACCAGCAGTGTACAAGAGATCAGGCTCTCCACATTCTCACCAGCATTTGATGTTTCTATTTTTTTATTTAGATGTTCTGCTAGGTATGTAGTGATTTTAACTTGTGTTTCCTTAATGGCTAATGATGTTAAACATCTTTTCGTGTGCTTATTTGCCATCTGCATATTCTCTTCAGCGAACGCTCTTCATTTTTTTTTGCCAATTTTCTAATTGGATTTTTTAAATTGGTTTCAGAGTGGGTTTTTTAAAATACATTCTAGATATTAATTCTGTTTTGATATGTGATTTGCAAATGTTTTCTCTTAGTCTATAGTTTTTTTATCTTATTAATATTCTTTTGCAGAGTAAAAATTTTTAATTTTGATAAAATCCATTAAAAATTTTATTTTCCTTCTATGGATTGTACTTTTGGTGTTAAGTGTAAGAATTCTTTGCCTGACCCTAGATCCCAAACATTTTCTCTTATTTTTTCTTCTAAAAGTTTTTTAGTCTATGTTTTCCATTTAAGCCCATGACCCATTTTGAGTTAATTTTTATATAAGATGTGAGACTTAAGTTGAGCGTCATTTTTTTTTTGACCTGTGGATGCTCCAGCACCATTTATTGAAAAGGCTTTACTCTATTGAATTGCTTTTGCACTTTTGTCAAAAATCAAT